ATTACTGTAATTTTATAATATTTTATCTCATGTTTATTTTTATAAGACAGCACCCTTATATGTGCTTTTATAATTTCAGCATTTGACGAACTTGGTAACTTTGTACCGACTGACCTGAAAATGCTTTGCAAATTCTAGAAAGCGAAACCGGTCGTCTTGGTAGTTAAATTAAACTGATTGTGAGTAAGTCTTAATTATTTCTTTTTACCTATTTGCAATGGACTCACACAGCCAACACATTTATGTTTATCTTTTATTTATTTATCATACGTCTTTCAGTATTTAACCCTATAATAGCTTAAACTGGTCTTGTGGATAGGTACTATACGTTTGTAAAATCACTAGGTAATCTACAAATAGTGTTTGCTATCTAAGATTTATTATTGCCTCTCATTTGTAGTAAATATGGTTGTTTATTTCACTTAATTTAACACAGATTCGACTGTTCTGAACATTATTATGCTAAACTGATTCGATTGTATTCCACAGTATTTAACCGCTATAGTACCGATATGCTGCCGCTTCCGTAAATTAACCTGCTCTAAGCGTGTATTGTCCCTGATAGATCAGATGTTTAACCAATACACCATCTCTAATGTGTCTATCGAGCAGTTTTTTGAAATCTTTTATTATTATTTCATCCTTCTCTGTCGTGTGTCTACGTTCTCCATTCCTTTACTCCAATGCCCGTTAAATCGTCCTACACATCGTCCAGATCCCTGTGTTTAAGTCGCCCTTTCTTTTTCTTTCGACCAGCCTATTTAGCATGCATAATTAAAAAGGTTCACTGTTTACCCAAGTCCGAAAAAAAATTTTTAGACTGAACTAGTTTTGAAAAAAATTTTAAAATCCACAGAAACACGTATATTTGTAAAGAACTCTGATATGGAAAGTGGCAACATTCAAAAAACATTTTATCTGTGAAAAAAAAAATTTAAAGACCTGTTGGGAGACCGAGAAAGTGATGAGAGGATTATGTGGATGAAAATGCAAAAAATCTCCTTAGGAGTCAATCGTGGAGAAGAATTTTCACAGACGGTAACAAATGGAGAGGTTTGCTGAGGGATGCTAGAACTAGAATCGGGCTGTAAAGTAATAGGAGAGATCGAATAATGAAAAGAACCAACAATATTAGGCTTTCGAAAAATATGATAGCTTGAGTTTTAAATTAACGAGATGTAATTTCTTGCACACGGGTGTTGTTAAAAAGACATTTAATTGGACTTTGGAATGGCTGTTTGATTTGGAGATTAGGCAACTTAGGTTACCATCGTAGAGGAACGAAAGTATGTTGGTCTCTGTTGGTAGTTCTCCTAAACCTTGCCAAAAATATAGCTAGAGCTTATTTCGTATGGAGTTTTTTTTATTGAAATTTTATTATTTTACAGGTCGTTATTGTGTAATAAACTTTATGCCATATTGGAATTATGATTTCGACTTAATTGAATATGTATATAATTGAATATTTTCGCTAGATTCTTTACTAGATTTAAAACTACTTATTTTAAAATTATAGTCATTTCATATATTTCAATTATAGTTATTTCATATTGGTTTATTTCTTCTTTCTGTTTATTTTCATCATAACTATATTTTCTTGAACATTTTCTGTCAAATCTCTGTCTGAAACAGCTGTAGTTTTCTCTACAAAATAGTTAGGTAGCAATTAAGTGTTACTGAATGTACCCCTTAAAAGTCACTCTTAAATAGTACCTTTAAATGAATAAATAACAAAGCAACAGCATAATTAATAGCTTATTTATAAACAAAATTCACATATATTTATAAAAAAATATTGTTCACGACCTGTTGGTGAATTATGTTATTACTACTGAATACTTACTACCATCGATCATTGGTCTATCACTCGTTCTTAACCCTTCCGTTTTTCTTCTTAACATTACAAACTTAAATATTCTCTCTTCTATCAACTCTTTGTGTTTAAAAAAATCCACAAGGAAAACAATTCCTGTAGCTGGCTGTATACCACGTATCACAAAAAAGAGGTTAGTCTTCGTAAGTGGGTATATTTATTTAAAAACCTTTAAAAGGGCTTCATCAAAAAAACAAACGTTTTCGGACTAAACAGTCTATCATCAGGTTTAAAATCGCTAGGTTAAAATGCCTGAGCCACAAAAAATACATGGGTAAAAACACTTTAAATTACATTAAGTTATAAAAGATTATACATCTTGTTGTTAAAAAACTGTGATGTTCAGTATTAAATAAAATATGACTTCAGGTAACATACATTGCAAAAATTGAGTTCCAGAGCCGGGGAGAAAACCTCTACGCACGGAGAACAGCTGGAAACATGTTTCCAGCTGTTCTCCATGCTGTTCTCCATCTTTGTGTTTAAAATTATTCCTTAGTGTCCATTAGATACCTTCCTTCACCGGTCCGTAGATTTTTTGCTGCATTTTCTTTTCAAATTTTAAATAAGGGGATCACTTGCATTTGCACTGTATCTGAATTCAGCGGCAAAGGTAATAACTAAATTAATATTACCCCTACAACAGTTAAAAAAATAGGCGAGAATACATGCGTAATAGAAGTAAGAAATGAAGAGGAAAAATACGAGATCATGGCAAACAAAAAAAAACTAAAAAATGTCGTAGGAGAGAAAGTATTCATCAATGATGACTTGACTCAAGAAGAGAAAGAAAAGCAGAAACACCTAAGAAATTTTGCAAAAAACGAAAAATAGAAAGGCAAAGACGTCAAAATTGATTACAACCAGGTGCTGGCTACAACCAGTAAACCAAGAAGAATGGAGATTGAACAAAATAAAAAAGGAACTAGAAAAACATCAAAAAGACTAGAAAACTACAACCACAAGAGGAATATTGATAACGACCAAAGCAACGAAAAGGATCTGACAATGACCAGGGCGACGAATAAAAACAACCATAGTAAAAAGCACGATGCAAAGGTAAACAATGATGAAAATAGGAAGACGATGAAAGATATACCGCAGAAAAAAGGAGAGATAAAAATGGGAACATGGAATGTAAGAAGCATCAATGGAAAAGGGGTAGAACTTGTAGAAGAAATGATCAGATAAAAAATAGAAATATTAGGAATAACGGAAACGAAAATAAAAGGAAGAGAGTTTAAGAAGATACACAAAGGATATTGGTTATTTTGGGTAGAAGCTGATGCAAAGGAGAGAGCAAATGAAGGCGTAGGGACAATAATTGCATCGAAAAGACTACAATACATTATAAGAGAAACATATGTTAACCAAAGAATATTATCGCTGAAAATGAAACTGATAGACGGGGAAATATGGACAATAATAACAGCCTACGGAGTAAATGAAGACGCAAAAAAGGAAAAGAAGGATACATTTTTCGAGGAGCTTCAAATGCAAATGAACAATGGGGAAGAAAATATAATTGTAATGGGACATCTAAACGGTCGAGTCGGAAATGGAGAAGAGTCGGTAGAAGGAGAAGAAATACTAAACAAAAATGGTAAAAGAATAATAGAAATATGTATGGAGAATAAACTTGTTATAATAAATACAAAATTTAAATATAAAAAAGTACACCAATACACGAGAGTACAAGAAAGCAAAATTAAAAAATTAATCATAGATTACTTTTTGGTAAGTAGCAAAAAATGGAAAAGAGTACAAGACACGAAAGTGAAAAGAGGCTCAGAGATTGGCAGTGGTCATCATCTAGTAATAATAAGAATGAGAACAGCAAAAAAAAGGAAGAAAAGAGGAGAAAGGTAGTAAATGAAAAAGTAAAAAGCTATAAATTTCAAAGAAGAAAGATATAAGCAGATATTCCAAGAAAAATTAGACAATATTTTGAAAGATAGGGCAACAACTGCAAGTATAGAAAAAAAGTGGGAAAATCATAAGACCAACTTAATCATAGCTGCTAAAGAAACTTGCACAGGAAGACAAAAATAGCAAATATTAGCATGAGGAGAACTGAATGGTGGACGGACGAAAAACGAAGGAAAATAAAGAACAAAAAAGAAAAATGGAAAAGATATCTGAGTACAAAGCGCCCTGAAGACTATGAAACATATAAAGAAAAAAGAAAAGAGGTTAAAATGGCTGTGAAAGCAGAAGAAGAAAGGTCATGGGAAAAGTTTGGACTAAAAATGACTAATAGGGAAAAATTATAGGGTAAATCAAAAACTCTTCTATTGGGCATTAAAACAGCTCAGACAAAAGAAAGAAAGGACAAAGAAACTTTGTCCGCGTATTCGCATAACATGTTAAACTTGTGTACAATGATACCATGATATATATATATATATATATATATATATATATATATATATATATATATATATATATATATATATCATGGTATCATTGTACTATCTTGTTTGGTTATATATATATATATATATATATATATATATGTTTGACCTAAAACTACGATAAATAATATTATAAAAATTAATAATAAACTCCCCTTGTTTCCGGGTTGGTCCGCGCCGAATTTTATTGCATCGAGCTTTCGACTTCATCTTTGAAGTGTTCATCGTCTCTCTTTGGTCTCCAGCTCACTTCATCGCACTGTTCACTGTTCATTGCATTACGTAATAGTGAACAGTATATTATAGTGAATAAGAAGACTGAGATCTCGGAAGCATCGATGAAGACTTTAGAGAGTAAATCGGAAGCTCGCTTTATAGAGTAAAATTCGACAAAGTAAGTTTATTATTAATTTTTCTAATAATATTAGACAGTAACAGGCTAGACAGGTCACCTACTTATGCTTTTACGAACTCTGCCATTTCGTCTAAACGTCTAAAATGTCTTAGCATGCCTTGAGCACTAGAAATATGGCAGGACCCTTACGAATTTTAGGTGCCTATTCCGAAATTTTCGAGTATTTATAAAAGTATTTATAAAAATTGAACCTAATTTACTATTTAAACCTATTTCATTTCTGTTTACTACGTTTCTTATTTTTATCAATACAATATTGTGATTTAAATAATAATTTATTAATTTTATTATGTTATAGACTCACAATCACAGCTTCATGTCCCATGAACCTACAGTATTTTCCGATGGACCGGCAGCTCTGTCACATAGAAATTGAAAGTTGTAAGTTTCCTTTTATTCTTTATGTAAAAAACCTTGTGAAATATTTTGTGTGTACATTTGTGACTGTGAATAATACTTTTGAGATATTTTATAGATATCAACAGATACCTGTGTCTGTGCTTAACTTCTTCAATGCCCACGAAGCACCAGAGTTTTGTCTCTTTTTTGTATAGGGCACTAAGACCACTGTAGATTTAAATATTTGTGATAAATTTTAATAAAAAGAAAAAATTCTTTAAGGTTTATTAAAAGTTAAGCAATTTTATGAAAACAGTAGAATTTTCAGAAGTGCAAATTATTTATTTAAAAGGTTATATTTACTACATTTACTTTTTCTAAACTACTTTTCTTGATATATATGATATTTGCATATTATCTTCAGAAAAGTCGTATAGAGAATCTAAAGTTCACATAACATTTCATTAATTGGAATTGCTCTATTTTACACCACATTTTTTCATTAAAAAATGCAATTTTTATTTACCATTTTCGTTCTGATATTTTAAAGTGGTATTTTGACAGCATTTTTGAGGTGTTCTTCTCTGTTAAAGTACTAATTTATAATATAATACATATTTGTACGACCAGAACTCCCGCTATAGCGTTTGTTAAAAAATTTAAATCTAAAAATCCATAAATATTGTATTAATATATTAGAAGTATAGTAATTATTAGATGTTTAATACATATGCGAAAATAGAAATATAGTGACATTCTAAGTTTAAATTACGCATATTCAAAATTATTTTTAATCTGCTTGTATAAACTCAACTAAATAGTTTTTGTATATTATAAAACCTTAAAGAAGAAAAATGTATATACTTGATAAAAAATTTGATAAAAACAATAATATTAATAACAAATATTTGTACTCATATTTTAAGTTTAATCTACAGCGATCTATATACGCAGGCTGGAAATATTTGATTGCCCCAATAATAACCGTTATATCATTAACATACTGACAAATTGACTAGAAACTTTCTAATTATGTTGAACAATATACCCACTTAGTTTTTAGGTACCTAAATACCTAATAGTATCTGTAACTAGTAATAGCTAAAGCAGAAATATTAATATAAAGGGGGAGGTATTTTTAAGAATTTTTTCCGCGCTTAGATACGTTCAGAAAAATAATAAATATATAAATTTCGTGTAATCTTGTGGCTTAGTGTTAGGGTTTTCAGGTTGCAATAACATGACATGACAAGGGCCATATTATCTATCTATTTTTAATACCTTAAGATTTAAGATCTTAAGAGAGTTTACCTAATAAACTTAAAGATCATTAAGTTGTAGACAAGTGAGATGCTACAACAGTGTCTGTAGACAGAAAACCTACTTTTTTAGTTGGTCTAATATGTTTGAGGTCAAACTTTAAAGGGTAAAGTCCAGTAATTTTCTCTAATCAGACAATAAAATCTCTTCTGTTGAACACTCATAATAAAATTATAACGAGTGGATGTTAGCATCTTTTAGATTAATACTCTACTGAACTGCTCTATTTATTTATCGCTAAGAACATATTCATTCACTTTAAAATTATGTTGTCAAACTCTGTATCATCACTTTCTAAAACAAATTTCTAAAAAAAGCGAGTTTAAACTGGTATCTATTTCAGTGAAAGCAGTAGTCGTCGGTATCAATATTATTTATTTAGTAGAAAATAACTACATTTTATTTGTAAAAATAGTTTTTTAACCAAATAATTTCCAGCCTGTAGCACCTAATACACAGATAGCTCTTGATTCTGGCAGAGCAACACACGGAAGCTCCTCGACTAATTTTTAGAAAACCCATTTTTAAGTTTATATTGATAACTAAAAACTATTAAAAATAATGAAAAAATATCGAATTCTTTGTAAATTTACCGTAAACGATATTTTATTTTATTTTTAATAGTTACGAAAATTTTTTGCGGATTAACTAAATGGTCTTTGGAGTGAAGCAGCCGCTAATATTACTTATATTTTCTTTTTATTTCAGTTTCGTTCCTTAGTGACAATTGGTAAAAATGTTGGATTTTTTCAGTCTAGAGACATAAAGTCATTGCCGAAGCTACGTTGAGTCAATATATTTAAGAGTTTACACATTATTTTTAGAAGATTAATTGCCATAATACTTGCTACTTGTATAGTGTAAGTAATAAAAGAGTGCATAGGATATGATCAAATAGTATAATTTATTCTCTTTAAACATAAAATCTGCAAAAGTTTTCGGCATAAGATATGATCAAATAGTATAATTTATTCTCTTTAAAGACAAAATCTGCAAAAGTTGTCGACATATATTTTACAAAATTATTTGACACCTCCAGCTTAAAATCGTCAATAAAACAAATGCTTTATTGTCTAAATATTCCAAATATTTTGCGCGGCATAAGTTAGGAATAATGTCAGTATATTGGTAATGTTAAAAAACATTGACATTTGAGGCCTTATAAAGAGAATCAGACTAAAAACACATTACAATGACAAAACATAATGACAAAACACCTGTACAGCCATTCGAAAATGACTTTAGTTCTCTCAAATGGAATAAACAAATAGAATTGTTTAAAAACGATAAATAATAAAGAAATTTTCAGTTAAATTAAACATGTTTATAGTCTAATTTTTTTATTAGATATAACAAAACTAGGCCAGACATCACCGGTATAGGTGTAGTGACGTAATCGTTAATTTTTTTAAATAGAAATCGGTATAATGCGATACCTCATTTAAACCAGAATTTAATTCTCTACTTAATGACATTACATTTTTAACTAAAATATTTTTTAAGGGTACAAAAACAATTGTTTTTAATTTAAATTCAACTAAATTACAACTTATAATTTAATTAATAATGTACTTTAAAGTAACCAAATTATGCATAATAATTATTTTAAATTAAATGTTCGAAATGCCATCCATCGGTTTCTTGACAATATGCGAATCTACGAACACATTTATCAAGTACATTGGGGATGATTTTTGGAGTAATTAGACTCATTTTATGCCTAATTATATCTTTTAAGTCCTGTAAGTTTTGGCGTCCATTGACATAAACTTTTGATTTTATGTAACTCCACAGGAAAAAGTCTAGAGGTGTTAGATCTGGCGACCTTGCTAGACACTCAATAAAACCTCGTCTTCCGATCCACCTCCTGGGAAAGCAATGAGTTAAAAATTGATGTACTTCACGTGCGGAATGAGAAGGGGCTCCATCTTGTTGAAACCAGATATTTTCACTAGGTAAATTTGGATTATTGGCATTATCTGAGGATATTGTGTGTGACTCAGTCATCCAATGTGGGTTCTTTTGACTCCAATATCTGCAATTTTGACGATTTACGGTACTATGTATAAAAATATTGCTTCATCGGAAAAAAAGGTTTGATTATAGAAATGAAAATATGAAAAAATAGAAATGGATTGTGGATACATAAATATTGCCTAATTTCAGAAAATTGGGCATCATTGGAAACTACAGCATATTCACCCATTTGTGGTGAACTACTGTGAGAATTGTTATGTACATTTATTAAAATATCAAGTTTCACATTGTCTTTAATTTTAGGACGCTCAGCGTTTGGAATATGTTTAACGTGCCCAGTTTCTACAAATTTTCGGACTATTTTACTTACTGTTGATTGGCTCATGGTTCTGTCTGGATATTTTGTTGAATAAATTGCATACCTCGTTCTGTGTTCTTTTTTATCTCCGCATCCGCTAAGAATTAATGCGTTGTGTTTCATTTAGGTAAGCCATAATTTAGTATTCAAAAGTAAAAATAACAATTGACAACTGATGATAATTCACAAAATCAAAACATTTACGTCAATAAATATTACAGTAACTACGCCACTATAACTTGCTTAAATTAACATTTGACAAACCGTTTCTGCGTTTATGAGATAACTTTTTGTGTCCATTATTATTTTTACTTATTTTTGCTTTTTTAAGTATTTACTTCAGAAAGTCACGGCAGCAAACGATTGATGGCATTTCGAACATTTGCTTTAAAATAATTTTTATGCATAATTTGGTTAATTTAAAGTAATTTAATAAATTAAATCATTAGTTGTAATTTAGTTAAATTTAAGTTAAAAAAAATTGGTTTTGTAAACTTCAAAAAATATTTTTTCACTGTATAAGAATTAAATAATAAAAAGGTAAAGAAATAATAAATAAGACTTACTCACAATCAATTTAATTTAACTATCAGACGACCGGTTTCGCTTTCTACAATATGCAAAGCATCCTCAGGTCTCGATACAAAGTTAAACAAATGCTGAAATATTAAAAACCCCTATTAGAGTGTTCTCTAATAACGATAAACAAAGTAGGTGTTGTAAATTACAATAATTATGCCAATATTACATGTCTGTAGTTTTATTTAAATGAGTAAGTTGAAAAAGGTATAACATTTTTAAAAAGTTTAAACAGACAAGGTAAGGCCGACAAATTGTTATAAAATAGTCTCTTCGATTGTAATAAATTAATAAATGAGCAAATAAATAACTAAAATAAACATTACTTACATGCCGGTACTCTATTAATAGATGGATGGTAGAACATGGTTGAAACTACTTTATATTGTTGAATGGAGAACTCAATTCTATTATTGCAGTTGTTTGACAGTAAACGGGAAGTTCTGTCCCAGTTTACTGTCAAACAACTGCAATAATAGAATTGAGTTCTCCATTCAACAATATAAAGTAGTTTCAACCATGTTCTACCATCCATCTATTAACAGAGTACCGGCATGTAAGTAATGTTTATTTTAGTTATTTATTTGCTCATTTATTAATTTATTACAATCGAAGAGACTATTTTATAACAATTTGTCGGCCTTACCTTGTCTGTTTAAACTTTTTAAAAATGTTATACCTTTTTCAACTTACTCATTTAAATAAAACTACAGACATGTAATATTGGCATAATTATTGTAATTTACAACACCTACTTTGTTTATCGTTATTAGAGAACACTCTAATAGGGGTTTTTAATATTTCAGCA